CAGCAGCAGCAGCAGCAGCAGCAGCAGCAGCAGCAGCAGCAGAACATGTTGGAAGAGGAAAGGGAGCCAGATTGCAGCGAGCTGGAGACAGAGCAAGATGCTTTTTCTCTCTTCAAGACAAGAGACTGCTGCAGCAGCAAAGGCCCTTCTGATTTGCTGCAGCAGGTGGCCAGGCACCGCTCGCTGCTGCTGCTGCTGCTGCTGCTGCTGCAGCAGCAGAGCTGCAGCCCAGCAGTCAAAAGGCTCTGCGCGTTCATCTTGCTGCTGTGCCCCATATGGGGCGCCGAGGGGTGTCTGCTTCTGCAGCAGCAGGAGCTGCGGCAGCAGCAGCAGCAGCAAAAGCAGCAGCAGCAGCAGCAGCAGCAGCAGCACGGCGAATTCAAAGACGCCTCAGAGGAGCAGCACAACCTGCTGCAGCAGTCTGAAAGGGACAAAGAGCCCGCAGACAGGGATGAGGCAGACCAGCGCTTGCTGCTGCTGCTGCTGGAGCAGCAGCAGCAACAGCAGCAGCAGCAGCAGCAGCAGCAAGCGGGAGAAGGTGCTAAAGCCCTGCAGCTGCCTTGGGACGCCCAGCAGCTGCAGCACCAGCTGCTGCAGGCGCAGCAGCTGCTGCTGGAGCTGCTGACAGAGGAGACGGCCAACTTGCAGCAGCAGCTGCAGCAGCAGCAGCTGCTGCTGCAGCAGCAACTGCGTGTGGGGCTGCAGCGAGGCATTTACCTCCCGCCTAAGTTCCTGCAGCAGCTCTCAGCTTTTACTGTTGGCCATCAGCAGCAGCAGCAGCAGCTGCGGCAGCAGCAGCACGGAGACACGCAGCGGGGAGCGCCTGCTGCTGCTGCTGCTGCTGCTGCTGCTGACTGTGCTGTTGGAGAAACCGGAGAACCAGCAGCACCAGCAGCAGCAGCAGCAGCAGCAGCAGCAGCAGATGGCGGGCTGGAGGGCACAGTGCGGGGCTGCAGTTTGCTGCTGCAGCAAGCAGCAGCAGCATGTGGGGCCCTCAACAACCTGCTGCTGCTGCTGCAGCAGCAGCTCATAAAGCACTGTGCTGCTGTGGAGCTGTTTGCTTCTCAAATAGAAGCGCTGGTGAGTCTTTTATTTATTTATTTTTAATTAAATAAATAAATAATTAATTTAATTAATTTAATTAATTAATTAATTTATTTATTTATTAATTAATTTATTTATAATTAATTAATTTAATGTTATTTATTTCCCACTGTTATCTGTGTCAGTCGTTTATTTGCTGCACATTTTTGGTCTATTTGTTTTTGTTTACTATTTATTTATTTGTTTATTAAAGTAATTAATTAATTAATTAATTAATTAATTAATTAATTAATATGTTTATTTAGTTGTGCTTATTTGCTTCCTTGTTGTGCTGCACTTGTTTTGCTGCTGCTGCTTGCCTGCAGCAACTGGCGCTGCTGCAGCTGCAGCAGCAGCTAGGCCCCGAGCTGCAGCAGCCGCTGGCAGCTGCGGCTTCTTTGGCTGCGCGAGAAGCAGCAGCAGAAAGGGAGCTAGCAGCAGCAGCAGCAGCAGCAGCACAAGGAGACCGTGAGCTGCAGCAGCAGCAGCAGCTGATGCTGCAGGCGCAGCAGCAGCAGCAGAAGGAACTGAGAAGGAGAGACGCGCTGCAGCAAAAGGCAGCAAAAATCAACAGAGAGCTAAACCAACTCCAAAGGGTCAGCAGCAGCAGCAGCAGCAGCAGCAGCAGCAGCAGCAGCAGCAGCAGCAGCAGCATGCCCTCCCTCCTCTGCTTTTTATTATTTATTTATCTCATATTTTATCTCCTGTGCTTCTATTTATCTCCGTTGGTTTTCCTGTGTTGCAAGCAGCAGCAGCAGCAGCTGCTGCTGCTGCTGCTGCTGTCCTAGCAGTTGCTGCACGATCGCCTGCTGCTGCTACTGCTACGATTACCGCGCTGCTGCTGCTGCTGCTGCTGCTGCTTCAATTTGCTTTGCTGTTGCTGCTTTAAGTGTGGCTGTTGCTGCTGCTTCTGGTGCTTTAAGTGTGGCTGTTGCTGCTGCTGCTGCTGCTGCTGCTGCTGCAGGACTTAGCAGCAGCTCCAGACCGCCGCCGCCAGCTGCATGGACAGCTGACCTATCGGCAGCAGCTGCTGCAGCACCTGCAGTGTCTGCAGCAGCGAGAGCAGCAGCGGCTGCAGGAGACGCAGCAGCAGCTGCAGCAAGCAAAAAGAGAACAGCAAATCCACGAGGCCCTCGTGCTAGCAGACACAGCAGCACAGGCACGTCCCAGCAGCAGCAGCTGCAGCAGCAGCAGCTGCAGCAGCACCAGCAGCAGCAGCTGCAGCAGCAGCTGCTGCACCAGCAGCAGCTGCTGCTGCACCAGCAGCAGCTGCAGCAGCAGCAGCAGCTGCTGCTGCTGCTGCTGCTCTCGGTGGCCGTTTGCATGACAGTGTAGCTGGGGTTGCTGCTGGCAGCAGCAGCAGCAGCAGCAACAGCAAAGGGTGTCTGCGTTGACTGTGTTGCTGCAGGCAGTGGAGAGTGCCCTCAGCGACAGGAGCAGCAGCAGCAGCAGCAGCAGCAGCAGCAGCAGCAGCTCGCGACTAAAAGTGTCTTTTGCTCTGTCTGCTGTTAGAGATATGACTGAGGGTTTAATAACGAAAGAAATAAAGACACAGGTAGACGAATTTGCTGCTGCAGTTCAAAGCAAACCGGAGCAGCAGCAGCAGCAGCAGCTGCTGCAGCAGCAGCAGCAGAGGTCAGCCCTAGAAAGCCTCCTGCGAGTTATTAGGCAGCAGCAACAGCACTTGCTGCTGCTGCTGCAGCAGCAGCAGCACCAACAAACGGCAGCAGCACCGGAGCCTTCCGGGCATGCAAGTGCTGCTGCACCCGCAGCGGCCCCTCTAGAAGCAACAGCAGCAGCAGCAGCAGCAGCAGCTGCTGCTGCTGCTGCTGAGTCTCCCGCAGGAGGAACGCCACCTGCGCCTGCTGCTGCTGCAGCAGCAGCAGCAACAGCAGCAGCAGCAGCAGCAGCAGCACGGGCGCAGCGGCTGCAAGGCTGCTTAGTTGAGATTGAAGGGGCCTGCAGCCAAGCAGCAATGAATGTGCAGCGGCAGCAGCAGCAAATCAAACGGACTGAGCTGCTGCTGCAGCAGCAAACGAACACAGAGCAGCTGCAAGAAAGAGTAGATGCACTAACTGGCGAACTCAAAAGGTGAGCTTCCTGCTGCTGCTGCTGCTGCTGCTGCTGCTGCTGCTGCGGGCTCTGTTGACTGCTTTGCTGCTGCTGCTACTGCATTTGCTGCTGCTGATTCCCCTGCGTTTGTTCTGCTGCGCTTGCTGCTGCTGCTGCTGCTGCTGCTGCTGCTGCTTGAAGGTCTGAGAGCGAGCTGGAAGATTGCGAGTTGCTGCTGCAGCAGCAGCGGGAGCAGCAGCAGTCGCTGCAGGTTTTGGTGGTGAGCTTGTCTCAGCAGCAGCAGCAGCTGCAGCAGCAGGAGCAGCAGCAGCAAAAGGCGCTGCAGCAGCTGCAGCAGCAAACAACGCGCAACCGCGAAAGGATCGACTCGCTGCTGCTGCAGACGCGCGAGCTGCTGCTGCTGCAGTGGGGCCGCGTGCTGCTGCTGCAGCAAGACCAGCTAAATATATATAAAACAAATAAAAGGAGCAGCAGCTTATTAAAGAAGGAGCAGCAAACGCGGCTGCTGCTGCAGCAGCAACTGCGGCACTCAGCAGCAGCAGCGCAAGTCTGCCTCACGCAGGTCCAGCAAATACTCTAAACCCTAAACCCTAGCAAGTACTCTAAACCCTAAACCCTAGCAAGTACTCTAAACCCTAAACCCTAAACCCTAAGGGAGAGTGTCTCTGTTTTTAAAGGGACAGAAGGGAGAAGACAAGCTCTTCTGAGGTGTATGTACACCTGAGCTGCACAAGTGGCGAAAACTTCAATTTTTTATTCGTCTGTTTTTTTGCTGCTGCTCCAAGAGGGTTTAGGGTTTAGGGTTTAGGGTTTAGAGCAAGCTGCAGCTAGCCGCTGCAGCGCAGCTAAGTGGCTTAGTGATCAGCTGCGAAGTGAAAGGAAGGCTGCAGCAGCAGCTCTCCTCTGCTGCAGCAGCAGCAGCAGCAGCGGCTAGGTGCTGCTGCAGCAGCGGCAGCGGCGAGGTGCTGCTGCAGCAGTGGAGCTGCTGCTGCAGCAGCTGTGGCAGCGGTGTACAGACACCCGAGTGTTCTTTACGGGAGTTTCAAGCAAAACAGAGAGCAGCAAAAGAGCCCCTCGTGCTGCTGCTGCTGCTGCCTTGGCTGCATGCAGCAGCTCCGAGGAAGCTCTGGAGGGGCTTTAAGAGACTGTAGTGGAAACGAGGCGATAATTGCTGCAGCAGCAGCAGCTGCTGCTGCTGCTGCTGCGCGAACACGGCGTCGCTGCAGCAGCAGCAGCTGCTGCTGCTGCTGCTGGCTTCCGCAGCTATTCCGCGGAGTCTCCGGCTGTTTATTCGCGAAAAGGGCAACTTTAAAAAGTTTTAATTATAATTCGTTGGTTTATAACTTCAAGTTCGCGCTGCACCGGAAGGAGCAGCTGCCAGACAGCGCAGCAGCAGCGGAGCAGCGGGCGGCTGCGCGTCGCAGCAGCAGCGGGAGCCAGCTGCGAGAAATGACTGCTGCTTTGGCCAAGTGCGAATTAATTTTGTTTATTTAATTAAAATAAAAAGAAAAAGATCTGTTTAAAAGGCGTAGCTGCGCGGCTGCTGCTGCGCAGAGGCCGCTGGGGTGTATAGACAGCAGCAGCAGCACACGCGCGCGGGGCGGCGGCCGCAGCACCAGCAGCACCAGCAGCAGCAGCAGCAGCAGCAGCAGCAGCAGCAGCAGCGGGCGAACAGCAGCAAATTTCAGGTCTTTTTCGCCCGTTAAAGGACTTTTAAACATCATTTTTTGTTTTCTTTCCACTGAGACTGGTTCTGAAGCGAAGGGGGCCGGAGCGGGAGCGGGCCAGAGCGGCGGACGCCAGATTCCGTCGCGGCTTGTTTGCTTCCTCTGCGGGCTTTGCTGCTCTTCGCCGCGTTTTGCTGCTCTTTAAGGGACTTTTCCGGCTTATTTCTCTCCAGTTTTCGTTTGCTGCTGCTGCTGCTGCTGCTGCTGCTGCTGCACCATGGCTTCCACGAAATTCCTTTCTTTCAACCCCTCTGTGGCCGACGCAATCAACCTCGACGAATGCATCACCGAGGTGCTTCCCGCTGCTGCTGCTGCTGCTGCTTTTTCCCTTTTGCTGCTGCTGCATGTGTTCTGCTGCGCTGCGGGGCCCCCGGGGCCCCGCAGGGGCCCTGCAGGGGCCCCGCGGCAGCAGCAGCACCCTGCTGCTGCTGCTGCTGCTGCTGCTCCGGTGTCTTCTGCTGCTGAGCTGCTGCTCCTAGTGCTGCAGCAGGAGGGCCTTGCCCGCAGCTGCGGGGGGGCCCTGCTGGCAGCAGACAGCGAATGGCAGACTGGGTTTAGGGTTTAGGGTTTAGGGTTTAGGGTTTAGGGTTTAGGGTTTAGGGCTTTGTCTTGCATCTAGCCTTCGCCTAGACACAGAGCCTCTTCTCCCGCGCCTCAGGGCCTCGGGTTTGGGGCCAGTGTTGGGGCTAGGTTTCAGGGTCTATGGGCGAGGGTTTAGGGTTTAGGGTTTAGGGTTTAGGGTTTAGGGTTTGCGCAGGAACGGCCCGCGGACGCCCCGCTGCCGCTGCAGCACCGGTGGCATGTGTGGGAGCAGATACAGCGAGAAGCAGCAGCAGCAGACAGAGCAGCAGACTATTCGCAAAACACCCGAGACTTGGCTTCTTTCGACACAGTTCAGGTAAACCCTAAACCCTCGCAAACCCTAAACCCTCGCAAACCCTAAACCCTAGCCCCAAACCCTAGGGGCCCCTGGAGCAGGCAGAGCTGCGCGTTTTAGGGTTTGCCGGCCGTTCAACGACTGCTTTCTGCGGGTTTAGGGTTTAGGGTTTGACGTTTAGGGCTTGGGGTTTAGGGTTTAGGGTTTGGGGTTTAGGGTTTGGCGTTTAGGGTTTAGGGTTTAGACTTTTCTTGCTGCTCAGACGTTCTGGCAGCTGTGGGCGCACATCCCCCAGCCCAGTGAACTCCTTGGCCACAAGCGGTGAGGCGCTAGGGTTTAGGGTTTAGGGTTTAGGGTTGGTAGAATCTCTTTTTTTTCGCCGTTTGGGCACTTTTAATCCTTTTAGGGTTTAGGGTTTAGGGTTTAGGGTTTAATTCGGACTGCATGCAAAAGAAGTGCTGCAGCTTTTTGAGTTAATTTTGTTTTTGCTTTCTTTTCGGGTGTATGTACACCGCAGGATGATCCGCCAGGACAGCAGCGGCAAGAGCCACGTGGTTGACGCGCTGATGATCTTCAAGTGGGTCTTTCTGGAGATAATTGGCTGACAAATAAATAAATAAATATATTTATTTATTATTATTATTAGTTATTATTTATTATTTATTCATTTTTTGCTCATTTGCTGCTTCATTTGTTTCAACTTGAATCTGCACTCCCGCGGGTCCGGAGTTGAATCCTTCGGAATCTGTCGGAATCCGTCGGCTTTTCGCGGAATAAATTGCGAAAATGGAAATAAAAGTGCATTTGGGAATTAATTAAAGTCCAAATGCGCGAAATAACTGCTGCTGCTGCGCAGATCGCGCAGCAGCAGCAGCAGCAGCAGCTGCTGCAGCAGCACCTTAGTGTGTACGGCGCCGCCGCAGCGCAACGGCAGCGCCGATGAAGTCTGGTGCGAAACGAAGCAAAGAGGCGCTGCTGCTGCACTTCTCAATAGTGCAGCCTTGGCGTTTCTTCATCCACTTCTTGCAGCAGCAGCAGCAGCAGCAGCAGCAGCAGCAGCGAGTGCAGCAGCAGCAGCCTCTGCTGCGTCCACGCAGCCTTCGCCCTCGCTCTCGCTGCTGCTGCCTGCCGCTTGCTGCTGCCCCATGCCGTGCCCCTCCCTGTCCCCGCGCTGCTGCTGCTGCTGCACCGCTGCTGCTGCTGCTGCTGCTGCTGCTGCAGAGAGGGCATCCAGCCCATGTGGGAAGACCCGCAGAACTGCGTGGGCGGCCACCTGGAGTACCGAATAGTTCCTTTCCAAACTCGCGCGGGCCAACTCGACGAGTATTGGAACAACTTGGTCTTGGGATTGATTGGAGGAAGCATTGAACACGGAGATTATGTTACAGGAGTGAGATTGGTGAGTTCTCTGGCTAGCTAGCTAGCTAGCTGGCTAGCTGGGAGGGTTTGGGGGTGGCTAGCTAGCTAGCTAGCTATCTAGCTATGTAGCTAGCTGGCTGGGAGGGTATGTGGGTGGCTAGCTAGCTAGGGGTAGGGGTGGGAACAACTTGGTCTTGGGATTGATTGGAGGAAGTATTGAACATGGGGATTATGTTACAGGAATAAGACTGGTGAGTGGCTAGCTAGCTAGCTAGCTATGTAGCTAGCTAGCTATCTAGCTATGTAGCTATGTAGCTAGCTAGCTGGGAGGGTACATAGGTGGCTAGCTAGCTAGGGGTGTGGGTGGGAACAACTTGGTCTTGGGGTTGATTGGAGGCAGCATTGAACATGGAGATTATGTTACGGGAATAAGGCTTGTGAGTGGGTGGGTAGCTGGCTAGCTAGCTAGCTAGCTAGCTTGGAGGGCTTGGGGGTGGCTAGCTAGCTAGCTATGTAGCTAGCTAGCTGGGAGGTATGTGGGTGGCTAGCTGGTGGGAATAGTTGGGTGTCCGGATGGGATTGATTGGAGGGACTGCAGAACGTGGACAACTTGTTGACGGGTTCAATGGCTAGCTAGCTAGCTGGCTAGTTAGCTAGCTGGCTAGCTAGCTAGCTAGCTGGCTAGCTAGCTGGCTAGCTAGCTGGCTAGTTAGCTAGCTGGCTAGCTAGCTAGCTAGCTGGCTAGCTAGATAGATAGCTACATAGGTAGATAGATAGATAGCTGGCTAGCTAGCTAGCTAGCTAGCTAGCTAGCTGGCTGGGGAAATAGATGTGGGATGGATGGGTGGGGTGCATTGCTGGGTGGTGGGTGGCTAGCTAGCTAGCTAGCTAGATGGGTGGATGGTTGTGTGCTGCTGCTGCTGCTGCTGCTGCTGCTGCTGCTGCTGCAGGTGGACAAGCTGGGCCAG